CGGCTACAACTAACTTTTAGTGTCACTTAGAAAAGAAGCTCAAAGGAAGGTGAGCTCTGTGAGGTGATGCTAGCAAAGCTAGCTGTACAGGGACAAATTGCATTCAATATGAAAAAAGCGGTCAGTCACTGCGTTGCATTATTGTGTGGATGTGTTGACTGATGCGTCACTTATATGGGACAACGCTGTGACCAAAAGTCTGCTATACAGCGACGTGACATTCAGGAACGATTCTTCTGAACGGCTCTTTACTATAAACGACAGGACTGGAGCCTCACTGAGAGCCGTTCTTTGTTCTTGTAATGCTCTGGTACTCTGCAGTAGCTATTATTATATTTAATTAAATATATAATGATATTTATTTAATCAGCGAATAAATAAAACACAGAAACGGAAGATCACACAGAGCATGCTGTTTGCTCTTTGACTGTTCTCGACTCCTGTCATGGTGGCAGATGTTACAGTGGGAGGGAGGGTGAGAACAGTCAGAGTCGCCTTGTGCTTGGTTCCTTGCTACTTGTGCTCTTGCTCAGTGTTCATAGATGAGTGTTTATCGTTGCTGCAGACAGTGGTGGTTTCTGACATGGGCAACATGGGCAACCGCCCAGGGCCTTATCTTGTTAGGGATGGCATGAGAAGGATTGTGGCACAGAGATGGAAGCAAAGCAGAACGAAGAGTTTAAATTGATAATGAACTTGGTTAAATTTATTTCAGCTCTAAGCATTTAATATTTAAGTGTTTGTATGGGAATGTAGATCTTTCAGATCAATTTAAGATGCAATTTTTATCAAATTTCACATTTTATTGTGTCATGTAGCGCAGGGCACAGCTCTTGGTCTTGACGTGGTCTCAGGTTAGGTGGTTTTGACTACAACACTAATTAACTATTTATTAACTACAACGACCTATTAACTATTTTACTTTCTGTTGTTATAAAAATACTAATATGACTCAACAGAAATTTCACTTCGTAATCTGACACCTTGATATTGGGCCTCTGTCGCTTTAAGTAACTCCTGCTCTTTCTGACACTCTGCCTTCAGGAAATCATCACAGCGTTCCTCCATGATGCCGTTTACAACCGTTCTCAGGAGCTCAGCAAACATCTGGCTTCCTTTCCACCAGCTGTTTGCCGACGGCTCGACTGGGCACTGCAGCTCAGAGGCTTTGGCTGAGTGGGTGGGGCTTTGTGACAGAAAGTGTTTAGGCACCTCAAATGGTTGCCATGGAGATTAAAGTATTTCTTAAACATTCATGAAAGAATAAAAGCAACAGTGTTATTGAGGAGTGAATAACATTGTAACATGACATAAAGCTGAAAAAAGCTGATTTTACATAATTTCACATAATAATTCTCATAACAAACAGCCAATAATAAAACAACAGGACATCTGAGTTATGGAGCGGCTTTATTACTGAAGTCCCACTACAATTTACAGAGAAGTGTTATTTTATTTCAATATGGCATCCAGTGAAGTAAAGAAATCATCATCACCTTAAACAGTAGCTATAAAATCATTGAACATCTCAATGATTTATCAATATTATAAAATCTATAAAGAAAGACTACGTAACTATCACTCAACACTAAAACATGCAAGAGAGGCTTTCTTGCATATGTCATGAACAAAAACATTAACAGAGCTCGAGCTTTATTTACTACTGTTGACAGGCTCACAAACCCTCCTATGACGTTACCACCTGAACTTCAATCTAATGCCAGCAACAAGTTTTCAGCTTCTCTTCAGAGAAAATAAAAAAAAATCTGAGGATTAATCTGCACATCCACTCTAAAGTCACTACCTATCCAGTGCCCACACAAAACAAATACAGGAAAAAATGACCCAGTTTCAGCTACTTAATTCTAAAACCCTAGAAGAAATGATAAGTCAGTGAAGCTCCAGTTCCGACCCTCCCATTTCTTTAAGAAAGTTTTGCCTGTCATTAATGATTTGGTCCGAATAGTAACTCATCGCTCTCTTCAGGTGTTTTCCCTTTGGAAACAGCAGCTATCAAACCACTGATAAAATCACAACTGCAGAACTACAGGCCGACCTCTGACCTCTGATTCATCAGCAAAGTTATTGAAAAAGCTTCAACAGTTAAATAACTTCCTAACGATAACCAGTCGCTTTGACTGCTTCCAGTCTGGTTTCCATGGTACCCACAGCACGGAGACTGGCCTAGTCAAAGTGTTCAATGACATCCATATAAATACAGACTGTGGGAGAACCACAGTGCTGGTTCTGTTGGACCTCAGTGTTGATCAGGACATTTTACTGAATCGACTGGAGAGTTGGGTCGGACTCTCCGGTCCAGAACTCAACTGGTTTGAATCTGACATAAAGAACAGAGATTTCTTTGTTTCAATAGGAAACTTCTCATCAGAGAGGTCAAAGGTCACATGTGGGGAACCCCAAGGTTCAATCCTAGGACCCTCCTATTCAATATCTACATGCTCCCACTGGCTCAGGTTATAACAGGAAATAAGATCAGCTACCATAACTATGATACACAGCTCTACATTATGATGTCACCAGGTGACCTTTGACCCCATCCAATCACTGAATAGATGCTGAGAACAGAGAAATGTGAGGATGAGACAAAACTTTGTCCAGCTGAACAGAAACAAAACTGAAGTTATTAGTTTTGGACCTAAAGAGGAGTGATCTAGAGTTATAGATCTAGTAACAGATCTAGAGTTATAGATCTAGCGTTATAGATCTGGAGTTATAGATCTGGAGTTATAGATCTGGAGTTATAGATATAGAGTTATAGATCTAGAGTTATAGATCTAGAGTTATAGATCTAGTAACAGATCTAGCGTTATAGATCTGAAGTTATAGATCTAGTAACAGATCTAGCGTTATAGATCTGGAGTTATAGATCTAGAGTTATAGATCTAGTCCAGTGGTTCTTAACCTGGGTTCGATGAACCCCTGGGGTTCGATGAGTTGGTCTCAGGGGTTCGGCGGAGCCTCTGCCGTGGAGGTAAAGACACACTGTGTAACGTCGTGATGACGCCCCGCTTTGCCATCAGTTGCTGCAGAGGATCACGTTACATTGCTGAGCCAATCAGAGCTGTGGGGGAGCCCTGATTGGAGGAGCTCCACTCAGCAGGGATTTGAACTTGTGTCTTTAATTACTTCAGCAAAAACTCACCTTTTTTTTTTTACCAAATTCTGTAGCTTTCGGTGTACTTCTAAATCTGCTCCTTAGTCGCATCTTTTCGGGGTTGGTACTGCCTCTAGTGGCGTGGGCGTGGTAATACAACTAATATAATTACATTATTAAATCAGAATACCGCAAAGTCTTTAGTATTTATTATAAATTTTTCATTCTCTTAAGAATGTAGAGCTAATTAAATGATCTAAATAAGACCTTATTAAAGTGGTTCCAGTTTCTCTCGATGGCCAACCTGTTGAAACTGTGGCAAATTTGGGTCGTTCCGGACAGTCAGATCAACTTTGCTGAAAACACTGACTATATTTTGAATAACTGATCTCAGAGACTCTACCTTTTAAGAAGACTTAGTGATCTTGGGCTGACCCAACTGAACTCTAGTTGGGTCAGCCCAATGTCTTAAATTTGGGGGGGAAAAAAATCATATTTTATTTATCACTACAGAAGGATGCATTGAATGCGCATATGAAACTGGTGGGTTCGGTACCTCAAAAAAGGTTAAGAACCACTGTTCTAGAGTTACAGATCTAGAATTATAGCTCTAGTCTGGAACAAACTTCCAGAAAACTGTAAAACAGCTGAAACACTGAGCTCCTTTAAATCCAGACTAAATCCCACCTGGTTAGTTTTATTTGAAACGTGATCAATGATCAATTTATTGACGGCATCGACTTAATGTCACGTTTTGATTGTTGATTCTCTGCTGCATGACTTTGTGTTATGATGTAAAGCTCTTTGAAATGACTTGCTGCTGAAATGTGCTATACAAATAAAATTTGATTGATTAATTGATTGATTGATTGATTCAGATAGTAACAGCTTTATCACCATGATTTTATCAGGCTGAATAAAAACAGACGGTTAGTTCAGGTTTCATTAATCCAACATACGAAACAGAGAATATTTCTAAACATTAAGATTTATTGATCACCAATAATATTAATGTCTTATTAATAATATTCAGTGGTAGAGTTAATCATTTCTCCCACTGAGGTTCGCAGAAGCTCAGACGAAGCGAAGCTTTAAGGGTTCTGGAGTTCTAACAAATGGATCTGGTTCTAAATGTTAATGAGCAACGGAGAAAAGAACAAAACAGAGACGGACAAAAAGGTCAGAACCACCTGGACAGAAAACGTCCAGGTGGTTCTGACCGGGTCCGCCTCACTGGACCCGAGGGCTCCAGGCGCCGTTTGGAAGAAACAAAACGGAAAGGAAGGGCACTTCATCTTCTGCAAGTTAAATATTTAGTTTGAAAGCTAAAGCTTTAGCTTAGCAAGCTAACTAGCTCCAAACTAAATAGCAAGCTAAATATTTCATTTAAGCCAATTATTTACTTTGAATCATGTATTTAGTAAACAAGTTAAATATTTAGCGTGAAGTTAAATAGTTAGCTTTCACCAACTAACTCTGCAGTTCATCTATAGGGAACGTCCAGGGAACCTTCAGGGAACGTCCAGGGAACCTTCAGGGATCCTGGACGATCCCTCCTCAGGCGGACATCAGCAGGCCTGCGGTCACTGAAGAACAGAAACATGTTCAGCATCAACAATTCAACCCTGCACTCAGTGTTCTTCCTGCGGCGGCGGCTCACCATCCGGGGCGTCGGGTGGCAGCAGGGCGTCCTGCCGGTTGGCCAGGACGAAGGCCAGCGTGGCCAGGATGGCGTAGTCCAAGATGCCCAGCAGCGCCAGGATGTAGGCCCAGTGGACAGAGCAGTTACCTGGAGAGAAGCTGCCCACCTGGGGAAGGGGGCGGAGCCTAAACCTGGATCCTGACACCAGCAGTGAACATCAGCATGGTAACCAGGCTGCTGGTCCACAGATACAGGAACTTCTGCTGCTAATCCTCACAGATTACCATCAGAACCTTAATGGCAGCTTTGATTCCTGTTCCCATGGTAACACTGTTTTATTGATGTAAAGAAGAGAATAAAACGTTCTTACCGAATCTCCGCACAGAACTCTCATCTCTGGACTCTCCCACGAGTCGGGAAACAGGAGACACGCCAGGGCGAGACAGAAGCCTGCAGACAGAGAGGAGACGTCAGCACACACAGCGCCACCACCAGGCTGGGAGGGCAACTGTTGTTTTAACCTGAAATGTTCAAGAGGAAAATAAACGATGATCACATGAAACTGAGTTTATAAAAAGTTTGAAAGGCCAAGCTTTTATTCTGGTAGTCCACATCCAGTTATCAGAAAGTGAATTTGGATATTAGCTAATTATTTATCTAATTTACCTTCAAAGTTAGTAGTTAGTGTGTAAAATTAAATACTTTGTTTCAAGATAAATATTTATCTGTTTTAAAATGCTGTATTGTGTTTTAACCCCAATGCAAAGCCAAAAGCAAATTTCCATACCTATGTGTGGACAATGATTATTACTAATTAAATACTTAAATTTCAATCTTTGATATTTGTAAGTGAATGACAACATGATGAAATTATAACTTGAAAATTAATCCTCAATTTTTTCTCTTAACAGCTAAATAGACCAAGTTATTGCTGCTCATTTTTGTGTAACTTTACAAACGTCCCTTGACTATCTGAATTTCATCAGGTTCTAACAATCAGACCCATACTGAGGTTCTGATGCTCAGGAAGCGGGTCAGAACTAGAACTGTGATTTCCTGCTGTTACTGGACTCAGGAGGTTCAGCAGAACCAGGGACTGACCTGCTGTCAGCTGCAGCCATGCGCAGATCTTGTAGACGGTGGCAGCGCTGCAGAATCGGAAGAGACAGAGACAGAGGACGCTGGTCCACACCGCCCACAGAGACACGCCCACCAACACGGCCACCGACTGGAAGGACGGCAGCGGAGACAGGCTGGACAGACCGCCACGGCAGTCTGGGACCGGCCAGTCCGACTCCAGGCAGACCTGGACCCAGAAAGGATGCACAGAGAGACAAACTGTTAGCATCTAGCAACAGTCTTCACAGATTGAAAAGTTCAGATTGATAAATAATGTCAGCAGTGTTTAGTGATGCTGCTGATTGGCTGGTTTGTTCACTTGCTGGAAAACTTGTTTTTATTGAGCAACGTGTTTATTTTACTTTATTGTGATGTTCACACGACTTTTACTGATTGTGGTGTATTTAGCTGTGGAAGCAGCTTTGCTTAGCGTACGACGCTACGACTAAATTCCTCCTTGAATACATCCATCCAGCTAAAGATTTAGTAAGATCACTAGCTTTGAACTAGTTAGCTTGTCTAGCTTCAAATAAATATTTGGCTAACTAAATACTAAATATTCATTTAGCAAGTTAACTAGCTGCAAAGTGAAGAGCAAGCCAAATATGGTAACACTTATTTGACGGGGTGTGAATAAGACTGACATGACACTGTCATGAACATGAAGGAGTCTTTATGAATATTTATGACTGTTGTCATAAACAGTCATTTGGAAAATCATGATCTGACATAAATTTGTTATAAAAGTATTACCGATTAAACTTTAAAAATTATGTAGGTAAGAGATGGTATTAATCACGCTTTATGACAGTCATAAATATTCATGAAGACTTACTGACGTTCGTAACAGGTTGTGAGGGACCAGACTCAAACAAGGACAAAAAATGTTCAAAGTAGAAAAAGTCTCGGTTTTAATTCTTCAAAAAATTGTTGACCAAGCATAAATATTTAAAGCAAGAATAAATCAAAGAATAAATAACAAATCTAGATCCAAATCAACTGAGGTCAACTGAACTCTAACTAAACACAAACAAACTGACCTACCAAAGAACAAAGGCTGCTTAAATAGGGGTGGAGTAACCCAAATCTACCACTTGAGGGAGGTCTGATCTAACAAAAGAACAAATAAATACAAAATTAACTAAAGCATTCTATAAACAAATAAAGCAAAACTAACTTTAACTTAGCAAACAATAAGTGAATATTTAAGTGACAAAATTAAATAAAAAATTGGAAGTCTCCCCCTTCAGTCTTTCAGAAATGTGTAGACGGTTTGCCCCAGGTTCCTCCACCAGCTGGGTCCTATCAGCGGCACCTCAAACAAAAACAAGTATAAATGAACCATTCAGACAGGCATTAACTAAAGTGTGCACCCATTAGAAAATATACGTCTAAATGAAATAAACTATACTAATAAATAAATAAATATTAACACTATGTGGTGGTGGTAGGAGCATCCACCACACAGGTGTTATGTCATGTTTAGACAGTGTCATGTCAATCTTATTCACACCCCGTCAAATAAAGTGTTACCCTAAATATTTATCCATCCATTATCTTACACCCTTACCCTAGTGGGGTCGCCAGCTACGCTGGTGCCCATCGCTAAATATTTAGTTGAAGCTAAATAGTTGGCTTTCACCCCATCTACGAGTTCCTCAATCTCCGTTTTCCACTCTGACCTCTGACCTTGTGACGGTGCGGTAAGAGGTTGGAGAAGGAGTTAGCAGCGGCGGTTAGCCACTCTAACCCGAATGAGCAGAACGGACAGTTGAAGTCTTCCACACTTTCACTTTATTTCACTTCGTCCAGGTAAAGCCAGATCTCAACTTAACTTATATTACCTTCTCATACATGAGAAAAGTTACAAAAGTTGCACTGCTCTGCACCCCAGCATCACCGACGTTACTCTAAAACATGGAAACGAGTTCTTACTCGCTACAGGATTACAACAAGAAAGGAGAATAGACGCCCCCTTGTGGTGGTACCTACTCCACTCTAGGAACCAAGAGGTAAAATGACCGTTCAGACCTCCAGGACGTCCTGACCGCCTTTGGAGGAAGGAACGCTGCCACCTGATTGGCTGATCACCTCAATGTTAAAAAGGTTTATTGTAAAATAAATAAATACAATTAAAAACATTTGAATCCAGAATTTAATCGGGTAATGACCTAGTAATGTGAGACCGGAAGCTGTCAGGTTCTGTGATTGTTCAGCCTCCTCACCTCAAACAGTCCCATGGTTCCGCTGGGCAGCGGCGGCCCGGACGCCGTGGTTCCGACCCAGGACGGCTGGACCAGGATGACCACCTGGATGACGGCGAAGCAGAGCGTGCACACGGCCCACAGCACGCCGACCGCGCGCGCGCTGCGCACGAACTCGGTCTGGTAGAGGCGGGAAAGGTCGGCGAGGCCCGGAGACACCGACATCCTGGAGGGGTGGGGAGGGGACAGGTTCTGGAGAACCCGACCAGAACCAGCGCAGAGTTCGGACCGAACAGCAGGCTGAAAATCCCAACCTGCTGCAGTTCTGATTCTGCAGCTCCCCAGAACCAGAACCAATACAGGGCGAGCTCAACCAGAACCGGTTCTGAAGGACTCACTGATTAATGTTCTGCTTCCTGATTGACTCCTGAGCTGAAAGAATGAGCCAATCAGAGAAGCAGATACATCAACCATGCATCCATCCATCTACTGATTTCGGAACAAACAGTAAACAATAATTAATAATCGTCACGTGACTGATGGATCAGAAGGCAGGAGCCAATCAGAGCGCAGAAAATCCCGCAACATCAAAGAGGAAACACAAACAAAAGATCAAATGTTCCGCAGCCATCAGCGTGTCTCGCATCAAACATCAAAGCGCTGACACGCTAACGTCACGTCATCATCTGTCAGATTTACCGACACATGCACGAGCCGGGACGCGTCCACGCTTCAAAAATCAGCCGACAGGAAACACGAAGAGAACCGAACTGAACCGAACCTGAGCAGGAGCCGCGACGGACTGCGGTCTGAGGAAGAGGAGGAAGATGGTGATGAAGAGGAAGAGGCAAAGTTCCCGGATACTCCAGTGTAACCCAGACTGTCACCATGGTAACAAAAGATAATCTGCCCTAATTTGGCAGATTTTTATTCAGAAACAAAAATCTGATTAAATAAATCCCAGATTTACGGAGCATTTAGAAATTTCTATTAAAAAAATGATTTTTTTTAATCTTTAGTTTTATATTTATTTTACAGCAAAACTTTTTGTTAAACAGTTCATGAAATTCTTCTTTTCTCTTTTCTTCATTCACATAAATGAACGCAGTCATAATTGAATTAACATATTATTTTGTATTTATGGATGAGAAGCTGCAGCAGACAAATCCAGATGACATTTTGATCTGGAATAATCAATCAGGATGATCAAAATGAAGGTTTCAGAGAAAACTGATTTTATACTAAAACGGCTTGCCATACCCTGGACCAGACAGTAAAAAAAATAAAAAACTGGAATAAGAAAAGAAATTATTTTTATTGTCAATAAAACATATGAAAAGATTTTTACCTCAAATATTGACTATTAAACAGGTTGGCTCTGACCCGGTTCTGATCCAGAGGAAACGAACCAGCTGGGTTTATGAATGAGGCGAACTGAACCAGATCAGAACCGGATCAGAACCGGATCAGAACCAGGTCAGCTAGTTGCTGTTTTTTAAAGAGTGACATCATCTCCCAATCCAACCAATCACATCACAACAAGATTATTGGTTTGTGCTGTCACAGGAAGTTGGAATTTTTACAGGAAGTGCTCCTTCAAAAACCAACTCTGGGTAGGACTTTCAGAATAAAAGCATGTTTAGATCAGTAAGCGATTTGCACCAAAATGATTAAAGCGTAGCCGTTTCCATGGCGACCAGCCGGCTCAGCTCCAGGGAGGAACATCCTCTCCAAACTTGGCAAAGTGAGCAGCGTTCTTGGCCTCGAACAGAACCTGAGCAGAAGCAAACAGAACATGAGCAGTGCCGCCGACCCGTTGGAACCGGACCGCGCCCGACCCAGAGCCGCCTCACCTGGTGGTGGACGTAGGACTCACACAGGTAGCACCAAACGGACAAATCAGAGAAGCTGAGCACCACAGGGTGCTCCGACACGGCGCCATGCGTCACCATGTGCTCGTTAACGTAGCGACCGCAGCACACCTGGAGGAGCGGAGGGGGCAGGTGAGACAGGGACCACATCCTGGAGACAGGGAGAGCGAGGGTTGGCTCACCTCATAGCAGGTGAGGCAGATCCAGTTCTCAGAGTCAGAACCGCAGTCACTGCACACCTGGAAGACGTCAACACCTGAGGGAGGGAGAGGCTTAACGGCATCCAGGTGAGGACACCAGGGCAGAGGGTCCACCACGTACAGAGTGTCCTGGGAAGGGAGGGACAGGTTGGACGTCACACCTGGGCACTCATTAAGGTTGCGGTTAGCAGGTGAGCTAATATCTACTGACTCCGCCCATCTCAGTGCTGTATGTCAGCTCCAGAGACACCTGAGGCTTCGACCAACCACAGGCTCCCTCTGACGTAGGCTCCGCCCCTTCACCTGACCCCACACCTCCTTTGGGGTCTGATTCTGCTGCTGCCATGGTAACACTCTGACAGGAAACAGGAAGTGGTCAGACTGGAAGGTAGAGGTCAGAGAGAGGTGGATCTAAGGAACTCACCTGAGTCTGCAGGCTCTCTGCTGATTGGCTGTTCTCCAACTTGGACTCCACATCACCTTTGACCTCCATTGTGGGTGGTTCCTGTGGGGTGGGCGGGGCTTGAGTGATATCTAGACTGGCCAATCCCTGAGTGAGCTGCTCCACACCCTCCATCTGATTGGACGAGACAAGTCATGTGACTCTATGCAATTTAGAGGGAAATCTTTTTTCAATCTGGGCGTTACTGTAGCAACCTCCTGTCGAGCAGGGGGCAGCGGCCGTTTGTCCGATTTCCTGCCTTGAGAACTACATTTCCCACGATGCTTTGGGGAGGGGAGGGCCAACTGCACCAACTCTGGAACTGAAAGGAACCAAGTCAGACAGAATCAGATTAAGAACCGGATACAGAACCAGAACCGGTCCAAGTCCCAAACTCACTGGTAATCCTCAGCGAGCGCCAGTAGGGGGCGTGCTGTCGGATGACTTTCCTGATTGTTGCCACGGCGCAGTGATGGGGAGGAGGGAAGGGCGTGGCCAGGGAGGGGGGAGCGTCTCCTAACAACACACTGGTGCACATCGCCATGGAGTCAGAAATGGACGTCAGGTTATAACCACCCTGCGAAGAAAGCCAACCAATCAGGAGCAGAGGAGCATCGGCCAATCAGGAGCAGAGGAGCATCAGCCAATTGGCCTCACCTCCAGGATGATGAGGATACGCCCCCCAGCCAGTGACATCAGCAGGTGTGTGAGGTGGGCGTATCCCTCGGGAGTCACCTGGTATCCGCCCAGCGGATCTCCCCGGGCTGCGTCGAACCCGGCCGACACCAGAACCAGTCCGGGGTTAAACTGCAGAGGAAAATCGGCCCAATCAGAGAACACCGCAGGGAGACGGCCAATCAGAGGCCTTCAGATAGTTTCTATCAGATTAATCGCCTGTTAACAGTAAAAGTTATTGATTAACCAATAATCAATGGTTCTGTGGTTGATTACCTCGGCAGCAATCGGCATGACAACGTGATGAAACGCTGCCAGGTAGTCGGAGTTGCCCATTCGCCCGCCGTTCCACGCTATGTTCACGTTAAAGCCTGCCCCCTTGGCCACGCCCACTCTGTCGGCAGCGGCGTCCTCTGAGAATGGGAAGAACGTCCCGTTGTCATAGCGATGGAGAGAGATGTACAGAACGCTGCAGACGGAGACAGAACATCAGATTCTTGTCGCTGCGCTCTCACTCTCACTGCTCTCCTTCCTCACCTGTTATCGTCTTCAAACATGTGCTGCGTCCCGTTGCCATGGTGAATGTCCCAGTCAAGGATCAGCACTCGCAGCTGAGGATCATGGGAGTTTTTCTGGGCGTATCGAGCGGTGAGAGCGGCGGTGTTGAAGAGACAGAAACCGCAGGGAGCATCTCTCTCAGCGTGGTGACCCGGAGGGCGGACGATGGCCACGCCGTTACTCAGCTGCAGTGGAGACAGCCAGCCACCAGGGGGCAGAGCCTCTTTTTATTTACTTACTTTAATCAGAGTAGGATGGTTTTTTTACTGTAAAATCGCCTGTTATTTATTTTCACCTTTGTGTGAGTCTAATAGTTCCTAATAAAAAAAATTAATTTTAAGGCAGGACTCCATGATAAATAATTCATAATTAAAATGAGGAATGTAATAATTTATAAATAAAAAATGACTTTAAATTAGTTTGCCCTCATTAAAACTTTTTCTAATAATTTTACATCTTCTGCTGATATTGGATCTTTATACTACTAATATGACTTTATTCTGGTGAATTAAAACTCTGATGCTGCTGCTGTTCTTTGATCAACACTTTGTCCGTCTGATGCGTTGCTATGGCAACGTCGCCATCCGATGAGTCCTGCCCTGGGCCTGCTGACGCCTCCTGAGGGCTCAGGCGTTCCTGCGGACCTACCTGACCACTCAGGATGGCGTCCACGACGTTGAAGCAGCTTCCAGCAGCCAACTGGGAGCACTGGAAGCTCTGGTTGCTGAAGAAGATGGAGGTGAACTCGTTTCCCAGTTTGTGAAGGTCGCGGGGTTTCATCTCCGCCGTCGCCTTCATCCGCTCGATGTGCTGCAGGCTGCAACACACACACAGGTAAACCCTCCCAGTGGCGACAGCTGGGCACGTGACCTTTCACCTCTCACCTGTGACACACGGCCAGCTCCTCCTCTGTCGCCAGGCGGGCAGGTATCCGATGGCAACGGGCGACCAATCCCTGCTGCTCAAGTTTGGAGAAGATCTTAGAAATCCTCTGAGGCTGTTCAGGGTGATGCCTGCAACGATTCACAAGTTCACCGCAACACGCTGACAATGATTCACACGTTCACAACGATTCACACGTTCACCGCAAAACGCTGACAACGATTCACACTTTCACCGCAAAACGCTAACGATTCACACGTTCACCGCAACACGTTGACGATTCACACGTTCACCGCAACACGTTGACGATTCACACGTTCACCGCAACACGTTGACGATTCACACGTTCACCGCAACACGTTGACGATTCACACGTTCACCGCAACACGTTGACGATTCACACGTTCAC